TGGGCCCTAGTACTACATATGCATACCCTGGGAGGGGGCCCGGGGCGGCCGCCCCGTTCGCCCTGCCCCAAGGCCGGCCCTGCATACAACATTGCGAGTCAAATTGCCATTCTATAGAAAGTTGATGTACAACAAAAACAATAACAACAACAACAACAACAAAACTGCGAGGATCACCTTTTTTTAAAGAACCAACGAACAAAAGCAATTCAAATAAAACAGAAGAAACTTCTGCGCATGGACTAACATGGAGAAGTCCCGTTGCAGCGGTAGGGAGTGGTGGGAGGGCCAAGAGGGGTTTGTGCCTATGCACGGGGAGCTGAATAGACGCGCCTTGCTTCTTAACAGGAAGGACATAATTGCATAATGATTACATTTTCGACAAGTAAGATAAGCTTAGAGACCTGGGTTTTCCAGCCACACAGCTGGAGAATAGTACTCCCTCCATTCTTAAATACTTCATCCGTTTCAAAATTAATGTCTTGACTTTGTACTAACTTTAGTGCAAACTTGTACTGAAGTTAACACGCCAAAGTTGTACTAAAGTTAACACACTTATTTTGGGAGGGAGTGGTATAAGCTTTTTTAGCAATTTAAATATGGACTACATATTAAGCAAAATAAGTGAATCAACACTCTAAAACATGTATATATATACGTCCATATGTAGTCTGTATTGGTATCTCTAAAAAGTTTAGGCTTATATTTAGGAACTGAGGGAGTAGTACCTATCAACTCTGTTAACTTTAACAACAGCCATTATTTGTTTCCGCGCCTGTCACACCAGGGACCCATTCTCATGTGGTGATTCAAAAATAGTTTGAGTGACAACAAATCTGCCTACATGAAATTGATTTTGTCCGCCTGTATATTTGTGAAAGCTTTTCTTGGTTTTAGGACGAGTGCTAGGATTCTTGTTCCCACAGGTCAGGTGGTTGTTGATGTTACTCCGAGTAACCACACCATCTATACCTCAAATTTAAATCATTAACATTTTGGAGGAAATTTTAATTATCTAGATCGATCGACAAAAACTGAATCCACGGTGGCACATCACAAGCCGTCCTGTCATCCCAGAGAGAATAGTGAACTAACTTCATGTGTCACTGATGTCTGGGACCTGTCGTCATTGCCTACCAGCAGTGAATCCTTTCTGAACCTCCCTTCTTCCCCAAACCACCATGACGGAAACCATGAGGCTCCTCGTGCTTGCCCAGGGCCGTAGGCATGCTGTGCTGACGCCCATCACGTGGCCTCCCAGCCGCACCTCATGTGGACCAATAGTGGTCGCCGATGTCAAGTTCGAGGAGGGAGGGAGGGGAGGTGCCTATCTAGGTTGATTGCGAGAATCGGTTCCTGGTAATTAATGTTTGTTCACTTTTGCTTCGGTACAACCCCTAAACGCATTGACCGATGATATCTCTTTATACCCCTTAATACTAAATGGTACGATAGTCTTTCCACCTGCGCCGATACGCGGCGCCCTTAGCTGTTTTTCACTTTCTTTTTTTAAATAGTGCAGGTAATGTGAATTAAGCTCAAGACATCTTGATCTAAGGAGGACCACACTAACCAACTAGGGCATCCAATGCTTTTGCGTACTTATTTCTTTTTTTTTGTTTTCTTCTACTTGAGTTCGCGGCTGGGCCGGCCCATTGTTGAATCGGCCCTTTTATCACTATTTCTTTTTTATTTTCTCTATTCGTTTTTCTAGTTTCTTTTTTCTTTTTCAAAAAATGTTCAATTTTTTAATTTTATTAATAATATACAAATCTCTGCAATTAAAAGAATTTATATATGTTAGAAAACAGTTCGTTTCTTTCAAAATTGCTCAAATATCATAACACAAACATATTTTACAAAGAGATAACAAAATTTTGAACATAGACATTTTTTGAAAAAAAGGAAACTATGAACAAAAATATGGAACCAAATTATTTTGAATTTCCGCAAACATTTTTTGTATTTGTGCATGAAATTTTTTAATATGGGATCATTTTCTAAATTCCAAATAAATTTTGAAAGCACGAACATCATTTGAAAATACAGAACTCCCGAAATCACAAAAATTTTGCATGGTGCCTTGGAATGGTGATACAAGGTCCTAGAAAATTTTTGGTCCATTACAACACTGTCGAAAGAAGGTACTCTAAGACGGAAGCTTCCGCCCAACCCGAACGCCCTATCCGAACTTTTTCCCATTTAAATTTGAGAACATTTTTTAAAATTTGCAAACTTTGCTTTCAAATTAAAGACATTTTTTCCATTTAAATTGGTGAAAATATTTAAATTCGTAAACTTTGTTTTCAAATTCATAAACGTTCTTTTTCAAAATTGATGACATTTCTTCAAATGTTGAAAGTTTGGGCCGGCCCAGTACGCAGCCACCGGAAACAATGCTGGCTCCCGGTTTGGCAACGCCTGAGCGTATTTGTTTCTAATATATTTTTCCGATTTTTTTCGATAATTTCATTTGTTTTGCTTTATGAACTTTATTGTTCATCTTAAAACCTGTTTTATAATTTTAAATATTTTTTCAATACCAAAAAATGTTATTTTTGAAAAAATTTCTAGAATTTATAAAAATGTTCCCATTTTTGAAACTTTTGTTCATAAATTTGAAAATATGTTTTTGTTTTAATATTTTTTATAAAAGTATTTGTTTTGCAATTTGTGTACAGCATCAATATTTCGGAATTTATTTACAATTCTGGAAAATAGTGGTCATGTTTACAAAATTTTCAGACGCAATTTGAAATTACAAAATTGTTAACTAATTTCAAGAAATAATTCGGATGTAAGAAAATGTTCATCTTGATTGATAATGATAGAAATGATATGAATGAAATGAGACCAAGTTTTTCCAGCTTGTGGGCATGCTCATGGCAGGCCTCCATGCAAAATTTGTTGGAATTCGGACACCGAGAGCATGCCGCGTCACATTCGGCAAGTGTTTTTGGTTTTTTCACCGAGAAAACCTTAGAATATGCATAAAATATCAGAACTCAATGAAATTTATCATGGATGTTTGGCATGGTCATGCTAGTGCATGTTAAAAATTTGTGTCCATTATATTGATGTGAGCATTTTTAAAAAAATAAAAAGAACAAAAAGGGGAAAACAAAAAACAACAAGAATGAAAAGGAAACAAAAAATGAACGATAAACCGATCACTGATTGATATATTTCATTTTTATTTTTATATTTAATAGAAGTTTAGAAATTTTAAAAGTGTTCAACTTTTTTATGTGAGCATGTTTCTATTTAACCGAAAAATAATCAAATATTTTTGAAATTTTGAACATAATCTTATAAGTGTGAGCATTTTCTGAAAAAGAAGAAAGAAACAAAAAAGAAAAACGAATAGAAATATTGATAAAAGGACCGGTTCAACAATGGCCCGGTCCAACCGCGAACTGAAGTAGAAGAAAAAAAAAGTAAATTGGCACATGTATTATGATGTCCTAGTTGGTTAGTGTGGTTCTTCTTAGACCAAGAGGTCTTGAATTTGATTCACGTTGCTAGCGCAATATTTTAAAGTTTGATAAAAAAAAAGTGGCAAAGTGGGTACAATGCCTTGTACGTGTCACATATGCAGATGGCTATATGGTTTCATGAAATGCACATACTGCCCTTATACAGTTTGTGGAGGGGGTGTACCAAAGCAGGCCTCTTGTTT